CTGGAAAGAGTCTGGCCCCATCCTCCTGACACCCACCCTTGAGATATTTATAAGCATTTATAAGGTCCCCTCTCAGCCTTCTCTTCTGCAGGCTGAACAAGCCCAGCTCCCTCAGCCTTTCCTCATAGGAGAGATGCTCCAGTCTCCTCATCATCTTTGTAGCCCTAATAATCTTTTTGTAGGAAGCATTTGCCGCGCCTGGTTGGTGGCATGAGTGGAGCAGGTGTCCAGTTTAGAGGCACCTACAGAACATCCATGGCATCTTTACTCACAACTACAGGATGCTTGACTATGGGGTGACCCTGGAGGACTGCCCCAGTGCGAACGCAAGTACACACAGTGACTGCAAAAGCAGCTGTAAGAGGGAGCACGGGAATTAACCCAGGCTCTCAGCCGTACAAGCACAGCATTAAAGCACACACAACAACTGGCTGGCCTCCAGGGCTTGCTTGGAGGCAGGCAGGGATTTGGGACAAGCGATGTGTAAGAGAGCAGAGAAGGTGCAGGAGTGAGGGAGCCCCAAACCTGCAGGCTCTGCATGCTGTGGAGCATCTCTCCCAGCTCTCGGGGGCTCCTTTGAGCCCACATTTCCAGTGATCCCAGCACCAAAGTCCCCCGTCCCCTCTCTGCAGCCTGAAGCTGGGTACCCCTGTGAGGTTCCCAGCGCAGGGAGCCCAGGCTGGGGAGGCACAGCCACCACACAGCAGCAGCCTCTGCTTTGGGTCAGGACCTCTGAGCTCTTGGATGTATGGAGTCAGCCTGAATCTCGAGGGCTGGTGGTCCCAAGGAAGGAAATGGGTGCAAACGGCAAGGAGTATTGCATAGCCAGGTTCGTGCCTGGCATCTCTCCCCACGGGGGTCACAGTTGGTTTTCAGGATGAACACACTGAACATCTTAAGTTGGATCGTAAGTTTGAACATCCTAAGTGTGGAGAAGCACACCCACCTCACGGCAATGTGGGTGCTCAGCGCCTGGCAGCATCCAGCTCCAAGGTCCCAGAATCACCTTTTCTGAGGATAACGGGCACTGCTGTTACTGGGGAAATGTTGACCTCTGCGAAGCAATGGGGACAAGGGCTGTGCAGCCTCTGGCCCTGGGCAGAGGTGTGCAAGGAGTGCTGGTGTCAGACCGTCCTGCTGCCCCATGGCCTTTTGCACATGTGGTCCAAACCAGCTTATATATGGATGACAGGCCCCTCATCTTCCAGGCTTTACCCCTAGTGAAGCACCACTCTGGATGCCCTTCTAGTTGCTTTCTAGCTTGGAGATTACGTTCGGGACATACTAATGCAAGAGGGAATGAGAAGGGAAAGGGAGGAGGAAGGTGTGAAACCAGCTTCACTCCCTTGGAAGTTTGTTCCAGCAGAAGGGCGCAGACGGCAGGGCCTGGTGTAGAGAGAATTAGGGACAACCACAAGAGAGTGGAATCTGCAGCAGGAACAGCTTGAGATTGCCTTGAAGAGAAACAGGGTGAAAACCTCAGCTCTGCTCAGTGACCTCTCAGAAAATATCCCGTGTAGTCCCTGGTCGTGGGCTGCTGCAGCTCAGCCACTCACGCAGGCAGGGAAGGATGTCGAAGGATGCTGCGACTTGTTGTAGGGGGAGAGTGGGCTGCCCTACACGCACCGTTTGCCTTGGGTGAAACGGATTTCCTTCCATGAGACTCTCCCCAGGAGCTGGGTCCCTACAAAGCCCCAGCTCTGCCCCTCGCCTCTGGTAGGGGAAAGCCCCACGGGTACTGCTGGCACTAGACTCAGCCAAGGAGCTAGCTGCTTGTGCACACTCCCCTGGCTTGGTAGGATTTGCACGGGGCAAAGGCTGCGTATGAGCTGCACCCCAGCCTCTTCCAAAGGGCACCTGCGAGCCGAGGGTGGCTATTCTGGGCCAGCGACATGGCCACCGGCAGGCCTTACCTGTTGGTGTGCACAGAGGAGAGCCAAGGCATGGCTCTGCCTTGGGAGCTCAGGTCCAAACTCCCAAACGGGGCTGTCTGCAGCACAGCAGGATGGTCCAGCTGGCACAGGGGAGGCACGCAGAGCTGCCAGCTCTTGAGCCAGGGGCCATCCACGCATGCAAAAATTCTGACAGGAGCCAAAGGCAGGCACATCCCACCTGTGTTAGAGCTCAGGGGACGCACCCGTGCTGCCCTGCTACCAGCTACGCTCACCTCTGCGGCTGCAGGCATGCCTGCTGGCCACAGGGCTGAGCCACTGTGGTTGGAGCTTGGAGCCCAGGGATGGGCTCCAAGCACTGCTCCTCGCTGCTGTCCCCCGATCCTCTCCAGACAGCTCCCACCAGCACCCACAATTCTGCAGAGCTGGCTGTGCACCCGCTTCCTGCTCTGCTCTCCTGCCTCCCCTTTGCCACGGCGGCTTTGCCGCCA